AATGAAATTCAATGTAGAGAAAAGTCCTAAACCAAAAGGAGACATACAGACTGGGTGAAACCAGGCTTAATAGCAGCCACTGGGAGAGGGATCTGGGAGTCTTAGTGGACAACCAGCTAAATATGAGCCAGCAGTGTGCAGCGGCAGCCAAAAAAGCCAACGCAATCCTAAGTTGCATTAACAGAGGGATACAATCAAGATCAAGTGAGGTGGTAATACCACTCTATAAAGCCCTAGTAAGACCACACCTAGAGTACTGCACCCAGTTTTGGTCACCACACTATAAAATGATGTTGAGACTCTAGAGAAAGTGCAGAGAAGAGCAACCAGGATGATTAGGGGACTGGAGAGTAAAACATACGATGAACGGTTGCAGGAACTGGGCATGGCTAGTCTAATGAAGAGAAGGATTAGGGAAGACATGATAGCAGTCTTCCAATATCTCAGGGGCTGCCACAGAGAGGAGGGGGTCAAGCTGTTTTCTAAAGCACCTCAAGGAATAACGGAAGGAAACTGACCAAGGAGAGATTCAACTAGAACAATCAGCCACTGAAACAGAAATTGCCTTTGAAAATTGTGGGAGATTCATCCCCGGAAGCTTTCAAGAAGAGACTGGACTGCCATCTGTCAGAAATGGTGTAGGGTCTTCTGCTTGAGCAGGGAGTTGGACCGGATGACCTATAAGGTCCCTTACAACTGTTAATTAATCTAATTTAACCGAAGAGTGGTGTCCATAGTAAGGAGGGCTCTGGGAGAAGTGGCTTTGATCTTCACGGAGGTGGGGGAGTTCTCAGAGTGCTACTTCACAGGCTGAAATGTGGCACACCATAATTGGGGTGATTTGGGGTGATTCTGGTTCTGAATCAGGTGTGGCTTTCTTTTTTTTTTTTGTTTCCTTTCAAGGGATACTTCCGTCATTTTGGGCGCGCACGATCTGAATGCTATTGAAGAGAGCCAGCAAATGTTTGGAGTCATAAGCTATCACAAACACCCCGGTTATTCCATAATAAGTGGTATCCCTTTCAATGACATCCTTCTGCTGAAGGTATGAAGAAAAGCAACACTTGGTCACTCCAAAATCAAACGCGAACACCATTCATTTTGCCTACAGGTAGTCCTCGACTTACGACCATTCATCTAGTCACCTTTCAAAGTTACAATAGTACTAAAAATGGTATGACCATTTTTCACTTACAGCCTTACAGCCTTTGCAGCATCCCCATGGTCACATGATCAACATTCAGACGCTTGGCAACTGACTCATATTTATGACGGTTGCAGTGTCCCAGGGGTCATGTGATCACCTTTTGTGACATTCTTACAAGCGAAGTCAATGGGAAGACCAGGTTTGCTTAACAACCATGTAACTAATTTAACAACTGCAGTGATTCACAATTGTGATTCACTTAACAACTATGGCAGGAAAGGACATAAAACGGAGCAAAACTCACTTAACAACTGTCTTGCTTAGTAACAGAAATGTTGGGCCCCATGGTGATTGTAAGTCGAGCTGTATTTGAATCAGTAGATGAAATGAAAGCGCTGAAATATGCAGTTTTTTTATATTTTGCAATCCTAGAAATCCACGCCTCCAAACATATACAAATTATACTTTGAACAGAGTCACTCAAATGATTAAAAACATACTTCTCGGATTCGCAAATATGGTCACTCGATTGCATTTTTGGCGCTTGGCAACTGGGCGGCAGTTACGACTGTTTACAGCATCCTTGGGTCACCTGACTGCCCTTAATGACATTTTCTGCTTCTGGTTTTCTGTGAAAAACGTCCATTACAAGACTTCATGACGGTGGCAATTGTGGCTTAATGACCACAATTTTTTCTAATTTCATAAAATTGGATCGGTCATGTGGTGGCCAGCTTGATGACTGGAGGTTCAATTGCAGTCATAAGTTGAGGACTACCTATAATTACGCTAGGAGAAAAAGACAGATTCGGCTTAAATTCAGCTGGAATGTTTTCTTGCTTTTTTCTTCTTCTCGATGGCAGCTGGACCGTGAAGCTGAACTGAATGAATACGTCCAAATGATCCCTATCCCAAAGTCCACGGATGACCTTCCTAAAAACACCCGATGCTCCGTGGCGGGATGGGGCCGGATCGATGCCACGTATTTTCCCACACCGAAGCTCTTTGAGACCAACGTGACGGCCCTTGGCCGTAGAAAATGCCTCCAGTTTGACCCAGAACTTATTGACGGGATGATGTGTGCTGGCAGCCGGGCCACGATATGTGATGTCAGCAACGTGAGTGCCACCATCTTTGGGGGTTTTTGTCTTGTTTTCTTTTTCCTACTGTTGGAAGGAAAATCCATCCGGTTCAGTTCCAAGCTGGGAGAAAGACACTGGAAACAATATGGAGGTTAGCAATAGCAATAGCAGTTAGACTTATATACCGCTTCATAGGGCTTTCAGCCCTCTCTAAGTGGTTTACAGAGTCAGCATATCGCCCCCA